ATGAACAGCAACCAGACAACTTGACTACCAGCGAGTGATGATGTCAACACCAATGCAGACCTCCACCATCACCAGGTACGTGTCATCTTCCCCACACTCCCTTGTTACCCACACAGCGCCCTTCACCTCCGAAGTACCACCTTCGCCCTCACCTCCCCTGCACCCTCTTGCGGCCCGGCTATGGCCGCCAGTGCCCTGCAAGCAGGCAGCSCCCTACCGCCTAGCGYTGCCCTGCTTCTTCTTAGCGCAGCRCTGCTCTGCATTAGCGCAGCACCCTTGCATCTGCGCAGCGTGCCCGCATATGCCAGCATTGGCCAAGATCCCTGCTGCCTCGCCCTGCTTGCCTATATGCCAGTGCAGCGTGTSGGCGGCCTCCCTTCAGCCTGTGACCGGGGCCCAGAGGCTGAAGCCAACCCGATACAGTTGGGCCCCGGGGCAATGCAGTTGCGCCTCCTTCATCAAGRCCTGCGGCCAGATTCAGACAGTGGGCCAATTCCCCTTTGGCATTTTCGGCCTCTCTACCCAGCGTGCATTGTCGGCCTCACATTCAAGTGCCCAGGGCCTAACTAACTCAGAGGCCCTGGGCATTTAAGCGTTTGCTGAAATCCGAGACTCRGTGCACTCCAACCAACTGGCGTGCTGCAACTGTATAGACCCCACGTCGTGGAATGTTGGCATAGAGGGCTCTTGTTGCTTTGCTGGCCCGCCTTCACTTAGGGCGGGCACTAGGCTTGCTGGGGCCTTAGCCCTGAACATGTACATCATGGCAAGGCCCCTTCTTGAGGGCTCAATCCTCACAGAAAGAAAGAAAGAAAGAAAGAAAGGGGGATGGTTGCGGATTCAGAAAAACTCACAAGGCAAAGCTGACGACCCCAAGGAATGTTGCTGCTGGAATGGCGCCCGGTGCAACGATGTTCCAGTCCTCATCAGTCCTTACGACATGCCTCAACCACACCGCCAGATAAAGGAATATGCACGTGTTCAATCCAACACACATCAACGCGACTGAGAATGCTGTTCTGCAACACAGAGGGTGACATACGAATACGACAAAGAGCCAGTCAGACAACAAACAACCAGAGGTCAGATGGAGCGAAGTGGAGGGGGAGGGGGGCACAGAGAGGGAGAGTGCGGCGAAACGCATAAGTGCAGTAACGTGGAACAGGAAATAGAACCAGTAAAAAGAGAAAAAATGACTCTAAGAAATTGGTTTCAAGCTGTCCTAGCAGTTCAGTTCAGATCACGTTCTCCTTGACAAGGATGTTCACAAAATTTTCCCCTTTTTTTCTTTTTCCACCCTCGTTTCTGTGCATTTTCCTTTTTACACTTTCATTACTTTCCACTTACTCCTCCTGTCCATTCCCACGTAACGAAATTACTTTCGAGAAGAAATTTAAAAAAAAACGAATCTCTCTCTCTCTCTCTCTCTCTCTCTCTCTCTCTCTCTCTCTCTCTCTCTCTCTCTCTCTCTCTCT